AAATAAAATTTGAAATTTGAAATTTCAAAAATAATTTACATCTTCAAACTAAAAAAACCAAAAATAATTTACATATTCAAATAAAAGAAGTAACATGTGACATAGCAAATAACAAATTATCCTTAGAAATTACATTTTTAATCAAAAAGTTAAAAAGAACATTAAAAAAAATCAGAGAAAATTAACTTTAAAAAATTTTATTATGATAAAATAAACTCGAAGTGACTCATAAATCTCAAAAGCTAGCAACCATGATACTGGGTCCGTTTGGATCAGCGATTGAAAAAGTAGCTTATTGAAAAAATAGCTTATGGACAAGTGAAGTTGGTAAAAGCTAAATTGGATAAGCTGAATTGTGTTTGGATTGAAGCTCAGAAAAGCTAGTTTGCAAAAGTAAGATTGGTAAAATTTTGTTTGGATTATGATTGAGTAAAAGTAAGTTTGGTTGTAAAATGACCAAAATAGATATGAGTTTTAATAAATAATGAAATATGATTAAAAAAATAATTTCACATAATACAATGAAATTAAAATAATTTAATATGAAGAAGTCATAAAAAATATTTTAAATATAAAGTGAAACATGAAAAAATAAAATATATTTTTAGGAGCATATTTAAAAGTAAAAATATATTTCTAACTTATTCATTACTTTCAACTAATTTTAACTAATTTTTTATTATCTACAAATTAGTTATTTGAGGCTTATAATAAGAACCAAAAGAGGTAATGAATTTCTTAACTTTTTCTCTCTCCATATTTCAAAAGCCATAAGCCATAAGCTATAAGTCATAAGCTGTTAATTTTAGCTTATAACTTATTGTAGCTTTTCAGACAAAAGCTCGATTGCAGAAAAGCTGATCCAAACAGACCCACTAATTTTTTTCTTAAACAAAATGTCTTTGATAAGTAACTTTATCATTTTATTTTTTAAAAATATGTAATAAATAATTATTTTTGTTAAATAGGTCAAAAACCCGTTGGCCAGCCTAAGCCCACGAGTTCAAAGACTAGGCTTGGTAAAAATATCCCTTTTTGGAACACGGTTCTAAACGAGTCGGCTTGTTTAAACTCACGGCCTGTGAAGGGCCCAACCCCCTACAGGACTAGGTTGGCCTGTTTTCCTAACTTGACATTTAAGAGGGTTGTGTTACAAATATTAAGGTGTTACGGATGTTCATCTCTCTCTTTCTCTTCATTTTTACCAAGCAACTCCTATTACTGCTTTACTATTTCATTAATTGTAACTCACTTTACACTCTAATTTTAAAATTTATATCTTCTTCATGTTCTGCTACTTCAATATAACATAATAAGGTTTTTGAGTTGCAAATTTGGGCCTATAAATAAATTATATGTAACATATACTTGGTATCTTGAAAGTAAATGAGAAATATTCTCTCGTCTCTCTTTTTTTTGACCAGATATTCTCTCGTCTCTCTTCTCTACAATTCCTCACCCATCTCTATATATCTTTCTTTCTTTGGTTGGATATCTCTGTTTTTTTTTTAAAATTATTACTAAGGAAAAACAAGTTAGGGAAATTGCAAATAAAGACCGCCGAATATGTAAAATTGTGATTTGGAACTCTTAATTTGAAAAATAGCAAATAAAGACTCGGTCTCACTTTTGCAAATATGAAATCGTGGTGAAATGTTTGAAATGCCCCTCAATCAAATGACAAGTTGACTATGAGAAATGACAAGTTGACTTTAATGAATGATAACTTTAGTAGATCAAATTACAACTTGGTTGAGGGTATGCCAAATGACGAGTTGACTATGGGAAATGACAAATTCACTTTAGGGAATGACAACTTCAGTCGACCAAATCATAATTTGGCTGAGGGGTATTTCAAACATTTTACCATGATTTCATATTTGTAAAAATGGGACTGTGTCACATCCTGATAATTTTATCCTAATTGATGAATGATTTGAGACTGACCAAGGCCAAATAGTATAGTAGACTGGTAGAGGATCCAAGTTATGAGGAAAAATCAAGATAGAGACATAACGGTCATTTTTGAAAAGATCAGTCAAGAAAAGACAGTATTGGAAATAATGTCTGAAATTCCTGAAAATTTCCAGAAAATCATGAAAAATAGAAAGGAGGGTACAGAATAATGTTTGAGGCTTAGAAGATGAATATAGGATTAAAAATAATTTATTAGACAATTATTTGTAATTATCGGAATTTTTGGTTAATTAAGGAAAATTAGCCAATTTCCATTATTTAAAATATATAAAGGCCTCAAAAATTCAAGGAAAAATAGGGATAAATTATGTGACATATTATCCTAATTTATAAAATTACTTCCCACCTTTGGATGTACAGAGGTTAGCTTAAAGAATATTTATTACCGAATTATTATCGGTAGAATGTTGATTTTTGATGAAATAAAATTTAGAAAATTATAGAGGGAGGTAAAACTTGAGAAAAATCATGGAATACCCTTGGAATGAGGGGAGTTTAAGGAGGTGTTGAAATTGAAATTTTGTGACAGTAAATTGGACAGGATTGTTGGAAAATCGGACCAAAAATACACAAATAATCAGTGGATTACACTGAATATTGGATGAGTCATTTTTTCCCCAATATTTAGAGTAATATTTCGGCCAAAAATAAGGGGGAGGACAAAGTTGAAATTTTCCAAATTGTTTAAGGGCATAAAGGGAAATAAGAGACAAAATAATAAAATAATATTTTATTATCACATGAAAATCACATGGTGAATAGGTGTCCATCCATGTGTCAACTTCTTGTAGTGTGTGCTTTAGGATTTGTCCATGTGTAAAGTGAAAAAAAAATGGACGGCCAAAATTGCATCTTTTTCCCGAAGGGCATTCTTGGAATTTTGAAAAATCAAAGCCTATAAATACCCCCTCTCATGAACAATTCGGCCAAAGAGGTTGCTTGGTGAGGGAATGTTGTGTTCTTGAGTTTAGGAGAGAGAAAGGAAGAAAGAAGAGAGAGAAAGGGAGAAAGAAAAGTTAGACACCTCTAATCGCCAATTAAGAGCTAATTAAGGTATGTTTACCTCCCTAAGTGTTAATTATTTTTAGTTAATTATTTATTTGAGGAAGATTAGGATTAATTACCTTGATTAATTATGGTTTAGTGATAGCTAAGATTAATCATGCTATTTGATTAAAGATTAGTAAGTAATTAAGGTTAGCTACTATGATTAATTAGTAATTAGTGATTAGTTATGCTAATTGAAGGATGATTAATTATGATTAATCATGTTGATTAAGGAATGATCAAAGGTTAATCATGTTGATTAGAGAATGATTAGTGGTTAATCCATAAGAGATTAGTGACTTAATCTTAGAGGATTATGTGGTACTAATGACTATGTGACTTGAGGACCTTAATTAAATATTGGATTAAGGATTAAGGGTTAATGATTAACCAAGAAAACATGATTAATCATGGATTAAGGAAGAATTCCAAGACCTTAACTGAGGATTAAGGCTTGGTCAAACCAAAGTCAAAGGATTAGGAAAGGTATACAGAAATTATAAATTGAAAGGCACAAGGGTAGTATTATATTGAGAAAGAATTGTATACTGGATATGGAATTTACCATACCCTTACTGTATGGTTGATAGGCAATTTTCTGGAAACCTAGGAGGAGCTTAAGCAAGGAAACAAGGAGGAAACAGTAAGCGTGGAACCGAGGTAGCGTGAACTTGCAATTATTTTGTTGACCTGCATATGGTGTTTCTGCTATGTGTGTTTATGTGCCATGAGAATGTTTATGCCCAGATGATGTGAACTCCTTGCAATGTATGCCTTGGCTCTTGCATGATTGAGTTTTGACTAGAATGATTATATACTCCACGATATGATGACATGGATACAGAATGGTTATTGCATGGCATAAAGACTAGCAATGTTATTTTATTGCATGTAGCATGACATCTTATGCATGTTGACTTGATGGTTGTATGTTCAATGCTACTGGGATTTCTATGAAATCTCATTCCTCCTATAACATGATATCCTAGGTGCCACTACTTCCAAGGAGAAGGGAAAAGAAATAGTCATGGCTTGAGAAAGTTATGAGTTATGTATTGTATTATATGGTTTTAAACCTTTTTCTTTCAAGCCATGTAAGCATATTCTGATCTTGAATACATGATATGATAACCTTTTTGAATGTATATTAATGGTAGAGCACCTTTATATGTGATTATGGTATGCTTATAGTGAAAAACGAAATGGTGCTAGAATTAGTGAAAAAGGGGGATAAAAATGGTCTAGATTTGACCAAACTTTGACCAACAAAGACCCTGGTCAAATGATTGACTTTTTCCCTGAAATTTGGCATGCAAATAGATCTTATTTTTCCCTTTAAAATGAGTGGTAAAGCGTCACAATCGGAGCTCTATGTAAGAAGTTATGCCTTTCCCAAGTTAGGCAAAAATCCTGAAAAATAGAAAAATGACCAAATGAACAGTACTTTTTGAAATTAAAATCGGATGCGTTTCTGATTAAATTGGAATCTGAGGTCATTTTTCCTTGATAGATAATGTTAAGAGCTTCGAGCGAGACTTGGAACGACCTTGTTTCGATTTTTCTAGAATTAGTTATGATTTTTCAAAGTTATGCCAATTTTAAGGTTACAATAAATAGTAATGCGGGAAAGGAAATTTTTTAACTCAGGTTTTTCAACTCGGTAACCTTAAATTGCGCTTCCGAATATCTTAACTTGACATAATATAAGGTCACAAATGTAAGGTGTTACAGACTGCATTTGCTATTTTCTAAATTAAAGGTTCCAAATCGCAATTGTACATATTTGATAGTCTTTGTTTGTAATTTTCCCAAACAAGTTTTAGAATTAAATTTTTATTTATGAAACTCTGTTTCGTTTTTTTTTTTTTTTACGTTTCTTTTGTTTCCGGACACCACAACAAATGCATTTCGAAGCAGAATATGTTGCCCGCATCTTATTTCTTGGGCCGTGATGCGGTTGGTTACTATTTGCTTAACGCAATTCGCCATTCTCTTCTATTTCACTGTTTTTCGGTCCCTGTTCTTGTCTCAGGCAAAAGCAAGACATTCCTCTCTTTAGTCTTTCTCGCTCCGTCTTCCTTGCTGGAAAGGTTTGTCTCTTTCTCTTGCTCTGTCTTTTACCATGGCCGATGAGGATTCAAAGGCAGCCCTTTCTGTCACCGAGAAGAATGAATTGGAGCCGCCGAAGGTTACGACGGAGTCTGATTCAGCCAATATAGCATCTGCCTCAGCTGTCGAATCTGATTCGGCGACGGCTAATACTGAAAACACAGACCTGCCTACTCCCCCGCTGTCGGAGTCACTGGCAGCAGAAGCTACTTCGGTGGTAGAGACAAAGCCGCCGCCGCCGCCACCAACCAGTGATGACAACGATTTAAAAGCTGAAAGTTCAGATTCTAAAGAGGATGCTGTTGGGGCTCAGGACGAGAGATCGAAAAAGTTGCCTCAGAATCTGGTCTCGTTCAAGGAAGAGAGCAACTTAGTGGGTGATCTCTCGGATTCTCAGAGAAATGCTCTTGAAGAGTTGAAGAAGCTGGTTCGAGAGGCACTAGATACTCATCAGTTCACTTCTTCGGGGCCCACCAAAACGATGCCGGCGCCCACTGAAACCACTACAGCAGCTAAGGAAGCTGCAAAAGTTGAGGGAGCCACTTCGGAATCAGATGCCAGCATGGAGGTACATCCACCGCCTGAAACGAAAATTGAAGAAAATCCAGTTAGGGAAGCAGAAGAAGTAGCGAAAGAAACATCCGAGGAACATGTTTTCATATGGGGAGTTCCTCTGCTCAAGGATGACAGGAGTGATGTGATTCTGCTCAAGTTTCTCAGAGCCCGAGATTTCAAAGTTAAGGATGCGTTTGTCATGATTAAGAACACAATAAGCTGGAGGAAAGAGTTCAACATTGATGCACTTGTGGATGAAGATCTTGGAGATGATCTAGAGAAAGTGGTATTCATGCACGGTTATGATAGGGAAGGGCATCCCGTTTGTTATAATGTCTATGGAGAATTCCAGAACAAGGAGTTGTACCAGAAAACATTCTCAGATGAAGAGAAACGAGCCAAGTTCCTCCGATGGCGGATACAATTTTTGGAGAGGAGTATAAGGAAGCTTGATTTTACTCCTGGTGGTGTCAATACCATTTTTCAAGTTAACGACCTTAAAAATTCTCCTGGGCCTGGCAAGCGGGAGCTTCGAATCGCCACCAAACAAGCTTTGCAATTGCTTCAGGACAATTATCCCGAGTTTGTTGCCAAACAGGTTACAATGCACATTTGGATTGCCAGTTTATCATGATTTCAGTTATGCTATACTATGATAGAGGTACTGACGTTTTCTTTTCCAACTTTATAGGTTTTTATCAATGTGCCATGGTGGTATCTTGCATTCTATACTATGATCAGTCCATTCATGACCCAGAGGACCAAAAGCAAATTTGTTTTTGCAGGCCCATCAAAGTCCGCTGAAACACTTTTCAAGTTAGTGAATGAAAACATGATATTCCTCTTTGTTTTGGTTTCTCGGTTTTGGACCTTACATTTCAATTGGTAAAATAGGTACTCTTCTCCTGAGCAAGTGCCCATTCAATATGGTGGCCTAAGTGTTGATTTATGTGAGTGCAACCCAGAATTCAGCATGTCTGATCCAGTCACGGAGATACCTATAAAACCAACCACAAAGCAAACTGTAGAAATCATTATTTATGAGGTGGGGTGACAATGGTCTATTTGTCTATTAGGATACTTACTTTCTGCTTTTTCCTATATTCTATAATGTGCTATTGGAGACGAATGATTTGCAGAAGTGCATTATTGTGTGGGAGCTGCGAGTAGTGGGCTGGGAGGTCAGCTATAGTGCGGAATTTAAACCTGATGCAAAAGATGGATATACTGTTATCATACAGAAGGCCACAAAGATGTCCCCAACTGATGAGCCAGTGGTTTCCAATAGCTATAAAGTTGGTGAACTTGGCAAGATACTGCTTACCATTGACAATTCCACTTTGAAAAAGAAGAGGCTCCTGTACAGGTTCAAGATCAAACCTCTCGGTGATTGAGGGAAAATGATCGGTAGACTGAAGTTAATTGAGGAGTAAGAAAATGCTGTTGTCATCATTCATTGAATCCATAATCCATAGTTTTTCAATAATTTTGGTCATGATCATTTTGTTTGTGGATTGGCCTACTATTTTGATTGTACTTAATATGTATTATCTAGGTAAACATTTACTATTTTGATTGTGAAGAGTAATGCTAGGGGAGAGTGTAGCACTTGGATTTGGATTTAGAGTTGATTTGTGAGATGCTATGTGTTACCTGAAACATCTTTTACTTTGGTGTGGAAGTGTGGATGTAAATTTTTGTCCTCATGTTGTCCTTATCCAGTTTGATCTTGGTCAGTCTTTTGCCTTTTACTTTGATATCTGTATTTAAGCCTCCTGAATCTCATAAATATGTAATATAAGAGGTGTAAATGAGAAATATGCATCATGTTTTTTTAACCCAAATATTTATTTCCGTTCTTTGTAGTTCATTTTATATCTAACTGAATTGGCAATTGATCAATTTCTATCAGACAATGCAGACTGTGAGTGTCTATATCCTTGTGTGTACTTGGCTGTAATTTCAATTTTTCCCCCTCTTAGTTTTGAAGGTGATATATGTATATTTATGAATTTTCTGTATATTTGTATATATATGTTTGGATTTCTGGTTAGAACTGCCTTGTTAGTGGTACGTCCGGGGGCATGGGATAAGGAACTTAATCTAGCTTGTCACATTTTTTGACCCAAAAGTTCTGCTTGTAGCTTCTTCTAAAACAATTAACTTTTTATCTCTAGTTATCCAGTGTTTATTAACCTTCAACTGTATGGTTTTCCATTTTATACGTGTGGAAGGGAAAGTAATTTGGGAACCTCTGAATATTTTAGTCTAATCTAGTAATGATATTTACACTCACTTGAAGAGGGGATTTTGAATGTGGGACAACCCTCTCCCTAATCCATTATCCATTATTCATGTAAAAAGAAAAATATTGCTGTTGATAAGTGTTGGGTTATGCCTAGTCCACCCTTGGTGGATTAAGGTGCTAGCCCAATGCAAGTGGAGTTACTATGTGAATAAGAAGAAAGATGGGTCTAAAGAGGGAATTTTACCTTTATGTTTTAAAAGCTAAATTCCAGTAACTGCACATACGTGAGATATGGTATAGACGGAGTCAGTTTTGATGGATCGAATGATAACTTTCAGAAAACTTTGCTCTCCCCTTTGGAAAGTTATCTTCCTCTCTCGATGTTATCCGCTGTATATCTCATAGCATCCAACATGTGATGCTAGATTGCGTGGGCATGCCTTATATTCCAAGTACGCCCCAAATCCTTCAATGAGGAATAACATCATTCTTATGGATGCAATATTCCTTTGATCTAGAGCCTCAACAGGCTTGTAGTTTCATAGAAAGATCATAATTGCCAACATGGTTGATTTAGTTTGTAAGTACTCAACAAAGGTGTTTAAATCTTGGCCTTGATGTGAAAACTCTTCTAAGTGGCACTTGTAACAGCCCCCCCCCCCGGGGGGAGAAACATGAGGCCTTGACTTTTCTTGAGACCAACTCAACTAAACATTTTGGAGTTTTTTTTTCTTTTTAAAAGAAAAGCTCAACATTTGGATTTTGTACTTTCTTAGGTTGGGGAATTGAAATACTTAGTGGCCTTAAATTTAATGTTTTATTTGATGTATTTTTTAAATATCATTATCTAATTATTCTGTGCTGTGTAAAGTTACTATCTATGCAACACTGATGCCTAGGAAGGAAGCTATATCAAACCCAATACTTGTTTGGAACTTATCATGCGTGACCCAATACAAAATTGTATGGTGATCATGCTTTGGCATTTCATGTCTTGTATTCACGTCAGTGCCTGTGCTTTTTAGGTTATGCTCAATGAACAATTAAAGATGATCCTTTGAGAATGCTATCATGCATTAATGAAATTAGACGAGGCTGAAGCCTTCAAAGAAACTAAAACTATTAGCAGTTCATGCTTTGCATGGCGTTTGAAGTCAAATTGTTTGTATCTTATGAATAGTGGAGATTTCTGTAGGTTTTATGTACATAGATATGTAGACATATAACAAGTAAAGGATCTCGGGAGTGCCAAGGTCAACTCTTTGGAAATTTTGCAAAATTTTCAAGCTAGTAGCTTCTTTTTCTATTTGATTCTTTTTTGCCCTTTCCTTCGAAATCAGCAAGTCTCATTTTTCATTTCACGCCTTTTTTTCTCATGTCACTTGGTATTCTGAAGCTTAAAGTGTGTTCTCCCGCTTGATAATCAATATTCATTGCCAATACTCTTGTAGCATAGTGGCATGGAACCTATTTTATAAGTAGTTTCCATAAGTGGGAGGATGTGAGTTTGATTCTACATGTAATCTTAAATTGTTAGTGCTTACTCTTTTCACTGAGAAAATTGTTGTTGTTTCAGAATCAAGAAGAGAGAACTGCTCTGTTATTCACTGGTGCGACTAGCGCACATATACAAGGAATTGAGCACAATCTGTAATCCCAAGAAATCAGGAAAAGATATTGCAAATAATAACGAGAATAATTACTAAATCTGACTTTATTCTAATTAGGTCTAAGCTAGGTTAACTTAAGCCCAACATGTCTTCCAACACTCCCTCTCAAGCTGGCGAATAGATATCAAGCACTCCCAGCTTGCCAACTAGTTCATCGAACCTCATTTTGTCCAGCGGCTTAGTTAGGAGATCAGCAACTTGTTGATGAGAACTAACATATGTCATGTCAACTATCCCTGCTTGTATCTTCTCCCTTGTAAAGTGTCTATCTATCTCAATGTGTTTAGTGTCACTAGATTACCCCGTAGGAAGGTAAGGTATCCTATAGTTGATCTCCTTTCATTAACAGATCTTCCCCAATCAACATTCGTATAGAGTGCTAGGCCTCTTGAGTCACTCTTTCTAAAATAAATCCCTTTTCCTGGAGTCATCTTCAAGTATCTTAGAATTTCAAATACAGCTTCCATATGCTCCTCTTGTGGACTGCTTGAGAATTGACTTACCACACTGATATGTGATGTCGGGTTTCATAGTAGTAAGGTAAATTAGTTTCCCAACCAAACGTTGATAGCGCTCTTTGTTCACCGGAACACCATTCTTCTTCACTTCCAGATTAGTTTCTATGAGCATTAGAGTACCCGAGGGACTTGCCCCTAACATACTAGTCTCTTTTAGTAGATCCAATGTGTACTTTATTTGTGAAACTACAATCCCTTCGTTAGATCTTGCTACCTCCATTCCCAAGAAGTATTTTAGGCTACCCAAATCCTTCACCTCAAATTCTTGTGCAAGTGATTGCTTTAAGTTTGATATGACTCCATGCTCATTCGCTATCAAAATTATGTCATCTACATATACAATCAATACTGTCATTTTATCTCTGTCATTTTTAACAAATAGGATATGATCAGTCTGACATTGCATGAAACCAAGTCTAATTACAAAATTGGTAAATCTTTCAAACCATGCAAGTGGAGATTGTTTTAAGCCATATAGTGACTTATAGAGCTTGCAAACAACACTAGGTTCACTCGGTCTCTTCACTCCTTCTAGAATAGCCATGTATACCTCTTTCAAATCACCATTGAGGAAAGCATTTTTAACATCAAGCTGATGTAGTGGCCAATCTAAATTTGTGGCAATAGATAGCAGTACCTTAATAGTGTTGAGCTTTGCCACCGATGCAAATGTTTCCTCATAGTCTATCCCTTGGGTTTGAGTGAAGCCTCGAGCTATTAATCTGGCCTTGTACTTGTTTATGCTGCCATCTGGGTTGTATTTTATAGTGAATACCCACTTAGATGTCACAACAGATTTCCCTTTAAGTAGCTTCAGGAATTTCTAGGTCTAGTTTTTATCCAGTACTTTAAGTTCTGCTTTAATTGCCTCCTTCCATCTTGGGTCAGTTGCAGCTTCTTGGTAAGTGGTTGATAATGCCTCACTATTGATATGAGCAGTAAATGATTTATAGGTAGAAGATAAGTTTCCATACAACACAAACCTCTAAATGGGATGTTGTGTGCATGTTCGTTTTCCTTTTTGAAGTGCAATAGGCCAGCCCAAATCGTCGAAAAGTAGATCCAAATCTGACTCTTCGCATTGCTGTAGAGTGTTAGGAGTTACATTACCTTCTCCTTCAGTTGTTTGTTGCTGTTCAGATTTTTTTGTCGTCAGTTTCATAGTTGATTTCTGATTACTGCTGTGATCCTTGACCAGTGGATGATTCAGGTTCTGGTCTAGAGGGTGATTCAGGTTTAGGTTCAAGAGTAGTTCTAATGTCTTGTTCAAGTGTGTTTGGACTATTTTGTACGCCTGGTTCGATCTGTTCCACTTGTATGAGTTTCAGTGAGGGTGACACATTAGCATATGTTTCCAAAAAGGCCAACTCTTTCCCATAACCCTCCCCCTGAAGTGGACTTTTGGGATAATAAGGTTGGTCCTCAACAAATGTAATGTCCATAGACACAAATGTTTTCTTTAGGCTAGGTGAAAAACATTTATATCCCTTTTGAGTAGATGAGTATCCAAGAAAAAGGCATTTGAAAAACCTGGGTGCAAATTTATCCCCATGGTGATTGTGGACATGGGTGACAGAGCCGAAAACGTTTTGTGGGATTGATGAAATTAAATGGGTATTTGGATAAGTGTGAGAGTGTATGGATTGGAGAATGATGGTTAAGTGTTTTGAATGGTAATCTGTAGGTTAGTATCAATGTTTTGGCAATCTCAAGAGGTTGTTTGTTTTTTCTTTTAGCAATTCCAATCTGTTGTGTTGTGTAAACATAGCTTGTTTGATGTACAATTCCTTCTTCGTTTAGGAAAAGTAAAGTGCGAGCTGAGAACTTAGGTACTCTTGGCCATTATCACTCCTAAGGATTTGGATGGATGTTTGAAACAGAGTCTTGATCACTTGATGAAACTATTTGTAGATGTGAAACAGGTCAAATTTTTCTTTTATGAAGTATTCGTGTGTGGTCATCAATAAATGTGATGAACCATCTATTTTTGGACGGAGTTAGGACTTTGGCAGGACCGCATATGTCACTGTGTATTAGGGAGAATTAGGGGTGTTCATGGGACGAATCGGGACCGGGACAGGCCCGTCCCGGTTCTGTCCCGATGAACAGTAACGGGACAGATTTTCTGTCCCGTGTCCCGGCCCGTCCCGGGGTTGTCCCGGTCCCGGTCGGGACAGGACGGATCCGGGACGGGACCGGGACGTCCCGAAATATTTTTTTAAAATTTTTTTATTTTTTTTTAATTTTTTTTAAATTTTTTAAAAAAAATCTGATTTTTTTAATTATATTTTTTTGACCTTAAATCTTATAAAAACATCTTTTTTATTTGTTTGGGCACTCTTAAACAAAAGCTCAAAATATTACATATAATAGTTATTAAAAACTCTAAACAAAAGCTTTTAACACAA